GGTTGGGGGTTCGACTTGAGTCGGCGTCTCAGTCGATAAAACGCGTAGGAGGGATAATTGATCGGGGTTAATGGGCCTCCAATCCGCCTTTACCGCTGCCTTGCGGTCAGGTTTTTGTCAAAACTAAAGGCTTTGGTTGAGAACCCTAATCGTTCTCCTGCTGAGTGGCTGGACACCCTGGCAGTACCCGTCCATAAAGCTCCAATGAACGCAAACAAAAAATCATTTCATACTGCATCGGTCGTCGCGCAGGACAACCAGGACTGCGCTGCCTATTGCATCGAGCGGAGGATTTGGTAGCTAACCGACAGCTGTGGTGTTCTTGTCATTTCTTATCAGGCCAGAATGCTTGAAACGATATGTATATTTTTTATTACACAATGTGAATTACAATAAATGAGGAAATCCCCATGGACAAACAGCATACTGTGAAGGGTAGAGTAGGGGAACAGTTACGTAAGATCCAGTTTGTTGATTCTGCGTTTAAAAAGTGCAAGATGGTAAGTTGGGGGGAAAACAACAAGAGGTAGGGTGTTCCACGGTTTGACAGTTCGGGGAAAAAGAAGATTGGAGTAAGAAAATACGACATCTGGGAACAGAAGCCTAATAAGGATGACTAAATGCCTGTGTACGGGATGGGCGGGTAAAAGTTGCAGACAGAGGAAATGCCGAGGCAAGTTCCGAAGAACAAAAACTAAAGTAGCAGCGGTAGAACAGGGACAATGAAGCAACTGCCCGACGATGGGCTAGCGACTGTTGACTGGAAGTTAGGAAAGAATCATCGGTTAGCCGGATGGCCTTTCGTTGAACACGATCAAGAAGGGAAAGGGAAGAAGACGAAGCCCCACTCCATACGTGACTACAGTATTCAAGGAGGTCATTGATAAAGAGAAGGAAGGGGGTGAGCGCACGTACTGAACCTTGGGGAACACCAGCGTTCACAGCGAATGGCTGAGATAGAACCCCATCAACTCGGACAGAGATGGTTCGTTTACTGAGGAAACTTGATATCCACGCTACGAGCGCTGGAGGGAACCCGAACATGGGTAGTTCTGCCAGTAGACCTTGGCAAACTCGGTCAAAGGCCTTTGAGATGTCAAGCCAGACCAAGTGTGTTTCCCCGTGGTTATCGAGTGGAGCTGACAAGGATTGTGAAACAAGAGCCAGAAGCTCACCGGTGGAACGACGCTGTCAAAAGTCATATTGGCGGTCGCTCGGTAGTCCGCGTTCAAGGAACGTGCGTAGCTAGTCAGAAATGATAGTTTCAAATTCCTTCGAAAGAATAGACGTGAGGGAAATGGGTCGGTAATCGTTGGGATTAGAAAGGTCGCCGCTTTTGGGAATGGGAAAAATCACGGCGTGCTTCCAAGGGTTGGAAAAG